CCCTCCCCTCTCAGTCCTGCCTCTTTGTCCCTCCTTCTCTTTTTCCTTTTGTCTGTGTGTCAGATCCCTGGGAATTGTGGAGGCCTCTGCCTTTTTCAGCAGTGATTTTGTCACCAAACCTCGGTACACACTATGTGCAAAACCACAAACATACACACAAAAGAGACGTGCACAGACACAGAGAGTCACACACATACTCTGTAGGTTGGGCAAGCACAGTTCTGGGCCTCAGCCTTCTGCTGTCCCAGTGGCTCTGGGTCGGTGTGCACATTCACACCCCTCACCCTCTTTCATCCCCATCTGGCTCTCCCCTTCAGTGCAGGAGGCTGGAGCTGCATCAGGTCCCTGTTATAGGGACACCACATTGTGCTGTGGGTGAGCTGTGTGTTGCCTGGTGACAGGGACCCTTCCTTTCTCTAATTGTGTCTAGCTTGGCTGCAGCTTCCAAGGCTGGACATTCGTGACCTGGGTGTCCCGGAGGAAACTGTCCTTCCTGGAGGTGTGCAGGGTGAATCTCTCATGCCTCTTGGGAGGAGAGGCCTGTGCTGGTTGCTCAGTGGGGGCTGTGACTCCCACGGTGAAAGGGACAGTTCTCAGTCACTCTGTTGCTCCCTTGGGACTGGTGGGTGGGTCTCTCATCTCTTCCTGACCTTCTTTGGTGTCCTCTCTTCCCTGGCCGTCTGATTGTCCTGTGGACACCACATCTTCCCCGTGGTGGTGCAGGAGGAAGTGGGGAGCTACCCATGAACCCCGTGGAATATGACTCGTTGAGATACAGGAAAGGGAACCTGGGACACAGCAGGGATTCAGAGCTGGAGAGATTCATCCAGACTTACTCCGTGGCCGTGATGGGCTCAGCCCTCCATGTGCTGACATACCCAGGGTTCTGTCCTGAGGGTTTTCACCCGGCCAAGATGCTCTCTGTAGAGGAGGAACAGGCAGTCACCAGAGAGCCTCTCTGGAGGGACGTCGCTCACACCTGAGAAGGCTGGTGGGAGTGAGTTGTGTTCTCAGAGCAAAGAGCAATAATACCCCCTTCTCCCGGCAGGGACACAGGAGAGGTCTGTTTCCCAAGGTACAGCTGGGGATAGGTGGTCACGTCCTATGTGGTGCCTGTGTGTGAGCATCACGCGCGCTCTGAGCCCCACGGGGTGCAGCGGGCAGGCAGGTCACAGGGTGCCTGACGGATTCCCGGGGAGGCTGTGGGCCCTCAGGCAGCCGCTGTTCTGTGTCAGCGCTAGGCTTGGCCTACGATGCCCCACAGAACAGGACAGATGGAGCAGAGGCGGGCATTTAGGGAGCAGTGACAGAAAGAGTTGATGAGGATGGAGGGAAGTCACGAGGGGAAAAGGCGCAGTGCGGCGTCGCGTGCACCAGCGCTGCCCTGGGAGATGTCTTTTTAACTGAGCCCAGGGAAGGAGCAGGTGTGTGGGGCAGGAGCTGCCTGCAGAGGGTGTGGTGTTACGTTGGCGGCCGCCAGGTCAGGAAGGAGCTGACAGAGTCCGTGTGGGGAGCATGGAGGGCGTTGAGGACTTGGGCCGAGGTGACCCTGGTGAGGGTGGACCCTGCTTGGCTACGGGTTCTGCTGAGGGAGGTCGGCATCCCCTGGGAAGGCCTCAGGCTGGAGGGACTCTGCCGCCCTCTGGTGGACTGGAAGGGAAGTGTGGGGGGCCGAAGTCCCAGGTCAGGCTGTGTATTTTATTCCACAAGGATCTGCACGTTTCAAACGAGGTCACACATATGCTATGTTACAGTTCCAGCACCTTTCAGCCCTGTGAGTCCCAGTCTCTGCGGCTCTGCGTTCACTGTTCTCCCTCTTTCACGATCGGATGTCCCGAACGGAGATCTTTGTCACCTTCAGTGAGTTTGTGTGTGTGTGCAGCAGGCGGCACTGTGTATACCCGGGGGACACTGATGTCTGGGGCTGAGCACTGCACATGGGCTTGGGAGCAGAAGACGGAGCAGCAGGGCGAGAGGATCAATGAAAGGGGAGCAGGGACAAGTCATTTTCATTTTCTCACTCCCAGGGACCACAACCCAGGATTCTGACTCCAGGGCGCAGTAGCACACCCTGCTGGTGTCCCTGGATGTCATGAGTGCTCATAGTATCATGTTGCCGTGGCATTCCTTTTTTAAGGTGTAAATTTATTTCCCTCACATCAGAGGCAGGCCTTGCTCACCATGGCAGTTTTCAATACTGTATCTGGTTCAAGTGACTGCAGTTGGTGGCCAGCGATAAAATCTAAGAGGCATCTCTCCTGCTTGGTGTGCTGGGCTCCTCTCTCTCCATCTACTTTCTTTAAACTGATTTTCTGACATTTGCCCTTACATTTAAAGTGACTACTTCTCAATCACAGCGTGATCTCCTGGTCCCAGTGTTTGCTACTTTCTTTAATCACATCCATTAAAGCTCCCTGCTGGAAACCTGTCAGATAACACCTGGACTTACTAAAGACATCGGCTTACCG